ATGGGACAAAATAAATTTTGATTATTTCTATTTTTCTCTTTCAAATAAATTAAAACATAATTAAATAAATCATCAAAATAAATTTTGGTATCTATTTTTCTTTTTCAAATAAAATATAATTAAATAAATCATCAAAATAAATTTTGGATTCTATTTTTTTTCTTTCAAATAAATTAAAATATAATTAAATAAATCATCAAAATAAATAAGTCTAACATAACAATAAATTGTCAAATTATAATAATGGTGCTTTAATGGTTACATGTCATTTTGGCAAATATCAATCAATTTTTTCTCTAATTTTGTAGGTATTGTTTGGATATAAGTTTTTTAGTGAATTTATTTATTTATTTATTTTTTTTTTTTTTTAGAATTTTCGAGGTTGAGCATCTCCATACTTCTTCATTTTGATCATCTCTCTCTCTCTCTCTCTCTCTCTATATATATATATATATGTTTCTCTCTAATTCCGCCCCTATAGACTAAGCATCTCTCTCTCAATCTGTCTTTCTTTCTCTTTCTCGCCATCTACATCCCTCTCTTCTTCATTTTGATCATCCCTCTCTTCTTCCTCACCAGTGCCGACCGTCTTCAAACCAGTCTTCAAACTAGTCAACCCCCTTCTCTGTGTGTCTGATTTCGCCCTTTGGGCTGATCTCTCTCTCTCTCTCTCTCTCTCTCTCTCTCTCTCTACATCTTTATCATTCTCTTCTTCATTTTGATCATCCCTCTCTTCTTCCTTACCAACATCGATCGTTTTTAAATCAGTTGCCCCCCTTTCTCTTTGTCTCTATGTCTCTCTAATTTTGATCGTTTATTGTCGAGTTCAATGGAACACCAGTGTTTGAACTTCAATGGAGCTTAATTGGCCTGGGAACAAGCTCTAGAAATTGATGAAGAACAAGCCTTAGAGGTCGATTTTGGTTGAGATGAATAACAACTTCATCAATTATGCTGCCATGCTGAAATCTAAGTATTTGTCTTCTAAATTCCTTTCAGATTGCTTCAGAAATTTATATAAATTTGTGAGATTTGGGTTGATTGATCATTCTAATGAAATTTATGAAATTTGTGATTTGTTCTTCACTAAAATTTGTGAAATTTATGAATTTGTGAAATGGTACTTCCAGAAATTTGTGAAAGGGTACTTCCAGAATATTTGTGAATTTATGAAATCAAATGAAGAAGGAATTCTGTATTTTTTTTTAAATGACAAAAAAAATACCTCCAAAGATTTTAGGAGGTTTTTTTGGGAGAGGATCAACCGATTGGAGCCAAAATTCTATTAATCTTTGATGATGTGACATGTTTGGCAAATGCCAAAACTCCTGTCAAATTTGATAACAGAAATGACGTGTGTTATATTTGGCAAGATGAATAGCATGCCATTAGAGACTCATTCTTCTCTACTCTTGCCAAATTATAACTTTGGCAGCTCCTTTGGCAACTCCATTGGAGATGCTCTAAGGGTGTGGGAAAGGGAAACTACCAAGTGACAGTTGCTGATTAAATCTGCAATGGGTGACCTCATTTGATTTATCAACAATTCATTGTGCATATCGTATCAGATAAAGCCTTTGGACTCACGAAACTTGAGCTTCTAAATCCATTGCTCTGATTCATAATAGGTCAGAGATTCCAACTGGAGTTCTCATACATGACATGCTATCCACTGCAATGACCTCTTAGTGAAAATTCTGCGACAAACTTCCATAAAATTTCAACCTTGACAACATGAAAACTAGATGGTGATCAACCACAGCAAAATGTCACGTCTCGCCAACTTACCCAGACAAAATTGCCTACCAAAAGGAAGTCTCAAGGAAGGGAGGCTAATGAAATATTCTGGAAGCTCTTGGAAGACTTGAAAAAATATGAGAATATGATACATAATTCTGTAATATACATAAAAGGATCTAGAAAGAGGTTCTAGAATATTCAAGTGAATATTATAAGGATGGAAGTAATAGAAGCTTCTAGAATCTCCTAGAGAAATTGAGGTGGTAAAAGATCATTATACCTACCTCTAGAATGAGGTAGATGTTTTTATAGATATTTTTAAGGAGGATTCTAGAACCCTCTTGTAGGATAAGAAAAGCTTCCATGAGAAGCTTCTTTATAGTCTTTTTCTTGTATGCTCTAGAATATTCTAGAGAAGGCCTAAGATGCCTATAAATAGGAGATGGGCTCATTTGCTCCATCAATGATCCAAGAGTTGTAAAACTTTTTTATAGTGAATAAAAGGCATTCTCTCAAACTCTCTTGTGTTCCTCTTACTAGTCTTTCTTCTGAGTTAGTGAGTTAGGTTGACTTAACATCATCAAGTGAAGCTTGAGATTGTCTAAGTACAGCACGGATAGCTTGGAAACAACCAAGGTTGTGACACGTGGTATCAGAGCCAGGTTTGAGACAAGAGAAGAAAAGGCAACAATGTCATCCGGTATAGAGGAGACTGTGACTGAGCAAGTCCATGGAAGGGAAGCCACGAAGGGAAGGAAGGATAAGTCATGAGATGCTATGACCACCATGGATACACGGTTTGCCAAGGTGGAGCTTACCATGTGCGACTCGGGGGAGCGTCTTGATGTGTTGGAGCAAAGCCTTGAACAGGAGGTGGAGGGTCTCAAGAGGGAGATTAAGAAACTCCATGATGGCATGCTTTCCATCATCAATTCTATGACACATGATGCTTAGGTGGCCAATGATTCCTTTTAAGCCAAGGTGTTAGAGATGTTCGCATAGTTTGAAGCCTGCTTAGAGGAGGTGCACCAAGATGTGGCAATGTGCAAAAAGGCCATAATCGGGGGAGCTGTGACCTTGCCGGGGACATTTAAGGTGGAGGTTCCAAAGCTAAAGCCTTTTAACGGAAAGAGGGATGCCAAAGAAGTGGACAACTACTTGTGGCACATGGAAAGACACTTCGAGGCAATGGCAGTAACCGAGGAAGGTGCCAAGGTACGCACCGCAGTCCTTTACCTTGTTGATACAGCAACACTATGGTGGCGTTGCCGACATGTTGACATTGAGAGAGGTACGTGCACCATATCAACTTGGGATGATTTCAAAAGAGAACTTAGGAAGCAATTTTATCTCGAGGTGTGGCCTACCAAGCAAGGAAGAGCATGAAAAATCTTAAACACACAAAGTCTATTTGGGACTATGTAAGGGAATTCTTTACACTCATGCTAGAAATCTCGAATATGACTGATGAGGAATTGCTCTTCAACTTTCTAGACAACCTACAACCATGGGTAGAGCAAGAGTTACGACGCCGAGGTGTGCAAGACCTTGCGACGACCATGGCAATGGTAGAATCACTTATTGAGTACAAACGTGGGGATGACAAGGCCAAGACATCCAAGGGTGACCCTAGCAGAACTTTTAGTGAAAGTGAGGAAGAAGAGGATGAAGGCATCCGAAGCAAGGAAATGCACGGCAAGCCTCCCACTGGCAAAGAGGGCAAAGACAAGGTCAGAGAGAACAGGGAGAGATTCAAACCCAAGACCAAGTGTTTTCTATGTGACGGACCACATTGGGCAAGAAAGTGTCCCAAGAGGCAAGCCCTTAATGCCATGATTGAAGAACAGGAAAAGGTGGAGACTCCGCAGATAGGATCTCTACAGCTACTCGGTGCCATCGAATCGAAGCCTACTACATTGACCCAATGGGATAAGGGTTTAATGTACGTGGATGCCAAGATCAACAAGAGAGTGACCCAAGTCATGGTAAACACGGGTGCGTCACACAACTTCATCAATGCAGAGGAGACCAAGAGGCTTGGTCTTAAACTTAACAAGGGTCAAGAATTGATGAAGACGGTGAACACCAAGGCAAAGCCCGTAGATGGCATAGCTCGAGGGGTTGAGCTGCAGCTTGGTGGGTGGCGCAGAAAAGTCAATTTTTCGATAACATCACTCGATGACCAAGATGTGGTGCTAGGAATGGAGTTCTTGTGGGAATTCAACGTAGCACTGTTACCTCGCAACAACATTATGTGCATTATGGAGGGTGGATCTTGCATGGTGCCAATGATGAGTAAGTTGAATACTAAACTCAAACTTCTGTTAGCTATGTATATTAAGTCGGAGACAGACAAGAAAGAGGTAGTAAGCATTGTGAAGAAGATGACTGGCTCTGCAGAAGATAGTCCACCGACATGTATAGTTGTTAAGTCATCAATAGGGCAAGTGGACAAGGCAAATCTAAGAAGGCGTAAGTCAAGGAGAAAACCTACGACTTCGAGGAAGAAGGCGCGACAAGGGCATCGCGAGCATGAGTGTGGGAGAATGTCATGTCCCGCCAACTTACCCAAACAGAATTGCCTACCAAAAGGAAGTCTCAAGGAAGGGAGGCTAATGGCATGTTCTGGAAGCTCCTGGAAGACTTGAGAAAATATGAGAATATGATATATAATTCTATAATATACATGAAAGGATCTAGAAAGAAGTTCTAGAATATTCAAGTGAATATTAGAAGGATGGAAGCAATAAAAGCTTCTAGAACCTCCTAGAGAAATGGAGGTGGTAAAAGATCATTGTATCTACCTCTAGAATGAGGTAGATGTTTGTATAGATATTTTTAAAGAGGATTCTAGAACCCTCGTGTAGGATAAGAAAAGCTTCCATGAGAAGCTTCTCCATAGTCCTTTTCTTGTATGCCCTGGAATATTCTAGAGAAGGCCTAAGATGCCTATAAATAGGAGAGAGGCTTATTTGCTCCATCAATGATCCAAGAGTTGTAAAACTTTCTTATAGTGAATACAAAGCATTCTCTCAAACTCTCTTGTGTTCCTCTTACTTGTCTTTCTTTTAAGTTAGTGAGTTAGGCTGACTTAACTTAGCATCATCAAGTGAAGTTTGAGATTGTCTAAGTGCCGCACGGATAGATTGGAAACAACCAAAGCCGTGACAAAAAGCTTCCAAAATCAGAGATTGTGTTTCTAACCCTCTTACTGAAAAGCAAAAACAACTAAAAACAAATTACCAAAACAACCAAGAACCTTGGAGAAAGTTGAATTTTTCCATTAATGTGATTGAAAGATATAATGTTACAATTTCCTTGCCAAAAACAAAAGGCATGCCCGAGAGAAATTGACTCAAAAATGAAATTCAAGGTTAAACAATCAATAATACTTTTTTACTACTTGTTGCAGCTGCTATTTCCAAATCCCTGGATTCTTCGTATGCCAGTTTCTATTTCATGGAAAAAAAAAAAAAAAAAAAAAAAAAAGGTGTACAAAACATCTTTTTGAGAAACCTTCAGCTTGTTTCAAGTCCTCATATTTGATTTGTGCACTCATTCAAATGGGATTCGACTGGCAGCATGCAGGAAGCATCAATACCTCTTGTTCTCCTTTCTTATCCAGAGTCAGAAGAATTTTGAGGGATCAGGACATTTTTGCCCTGGCAAAAAATACTCCAGCAAACAGACCTGGATGAAATACACATTAATTGACGTTATCTTTCAATTATAATTACATATCTCAAGTGTTTATGGTCCGTAACAATGATCATTTTGCTTACCAAATAGGATGCTGAAGCAATTTGGTAGGCTGAGTGGAACCTTGAACAACACTATACCAGCAATAGAGAGAGGAATCTTGTTTAAGGAGCCCACCAAACTGTAAAGCAGCAGCACAAAGTGTCAATGGAGAATACAATTATTGTAAAAGAAAAATTCGGCTCACAATTAAAATTTTATTATTTTCCCATTGAGAATTCTTAACAAAACCAAACGCTTGAAAAACATTGACGCAGGAATTTATTACTAGTAATGAGATTCCTTGCTTCCTTGACATTCCTGTCATTTAAACATAGCCTGAATGTATAATTCCAATCTGGAAAGAAGTCCAGTGGTTAACTGGCATGCTATCACTATGCTATTTGTGAAACGTCCATTAAGTTTAAGCAGAGTGATTCCTAAGCTTGTAAAAGCAACAGGATTTTCAAAATCATGTAGCCCCCACTCCCAACCGCCTTATTATTTTTCATAACAATCTTTGGCCACTTTTTGTCCTACGGAATCTAACAATCTGAAATCACAAGCTCACAGCTATGCCTCGGCAAGCAATTTATGCAGAACATAAACCTAGTCATCTGCATATTTACCCTACTAAAACACAGTGTAGTTGCATAGAGAACTTGTTTAGGACCCACTCGCAGAGGCGTAATTTAAATGATGAGCACAAATGAAGCTTTCAACATTTGGAGTGATTTCAAGTTTAACTGTGTGCTTTTACCTGTAAGTGGTGGGCCCAGTTTGATTTAGAAACCACATGGAGGTGAAACTTATGGCAAGTCCAAGCAGTCCACTAGCTGTTGCAACAAACCAAAACATGGGCATTCTGATGACATCACTGCAAGTTGAAACCCAAACACACAACAGAGTCGTCAGACCACAAATTTTAGTATAACCACAAATTTAAGAATTAGAAACTTGTGCTTACGCATTAATTACATATTTCCATTCCTCAAACAGAATAATCAAGAAGATTGCAAAAGGCAAGGATAACATATTATTCAGCAACACCATTGAAATTTCATTAAGAGATCCAGATCTTGTCAACTGTTTTGCTTTGTCCATGATGCGCCGCAATGTGAGCTGTCGCAAAGTACAAATGTTTCGTGGTAATTAAGAACTAAAAATGTAGGCATGCCTGAACCAAGAATAATAAAGTTTCCATAAACAAACTTGTAAGCAAACAAACAGGTCAAGGACATACGGATGAATTGAATGAGCCTAGCAGAAAATACATACAGAGTAACTTGCTGTCAGAATGCAGTTCACAATTTGCCATGTATAACCCACTGTATCAAAGGAAAGATCTGTGATACCGCCACTTATAGCTGAAATGACCTGCAATGCAATCCACCAAGGGCTGAAAAGTGCTAAAAGGTATATTTGAAGAAGTACATATTCTAGAAAAGCAGCAAATAATCAGCTGGATGGAGCATAAGATGAAACTTGTACTAATACCATACAATAAGAACAAATAATGTGGTTTGCATATTAATGAACTAGGTCCCCAACATTTGGTTTCATTAGTTCATCCTCTATTTTGTAAAATATGTAATGAACAATGAAAACAAAAATAGTGATATTTTTAAAGGGGAAAGAAATTGTGACTGCTATAATAAACTGCAATTTATATATTCTAGGGGTTTTTGGTAATAAGTCCCTCAATTTCAAACATTATTGCCAAAAGGACAAGCTAAAAACATTTAATTCATTAAGGACAAAGTTCAAAATATTTAAAAATATGACAATAATACCCTCTACTTCTATCATTTTCTTACATTACTACAACCACCACTGATCATTGTCTACCCTTACCGACCACCACTGGCGACCATTAATCACCCTAACCGGCGACAATTTTCCGGAGACCCCTATTGGTTGGCGAAATTTTTCTGGCAAAATTTTTCAGTAGCAATAAAATTTTACTTTGTTAATTTGGATAATAAAATTTTATTGTTTACTTTAAACATATAAATAGTGAATTTTTGCCATTGTTATCACTAACCACCACACTTACTATAATTATTACCATTATTCATATAAATATTAAATGAGAAATCAGTCATAACATTGAATTAATAACGTTAACATATTTGAGTAAAATTTTACTATTTCGCTATTGAACGTACTAAAATAACATTTTCGTTTGAGATCTCAAAATTAATATTCAAACTGATAATGACAAAAAAATGCACTAAAATAAAAATATATACATATAGAGAGAGAAAAAGATAGAGAAATGGAGGAATAGAGAGAGCTACATATATTGCCTCAGATCTAGTTCAAACCTGAGTAAAATTTTACTATCTGAAAAACAGAGCATCATGAGGAGACAAAGAGAAAGAGAGGGAGAGAATATAGATCTAAGATGATAGATCTTAGATATGAGGTTGTCAATCTCAAATCTGAGGTCTTGGAGGAGAAGAATAACTATGGTGGTTACTAGTGGTATAGTGGCATCGAATGGTGCTGGTGGTTGAGACGGTGGTGGTGGGGGCGGTGGAAACGGTGGTGGTTGTGGTGGTGGAGAGCTCTTAGAAAGAGAGAAAAAGTTGACACATACTGAGGGAGAAAGAGAAGAAAGATAGCCAGAGAGTGTGTGTGAAGGGGTAAATTTGTCACACAAAATATAAATATGAAAATTTTTGTCCTTACAAGATTTCTTTTTGGAGGAGTTTATGAGCCAAAAAATTAGAGTTTGCCCTTTTCAAGAAAAACGGGCTCTAGGAAGGAATTATGGCCAAAAATCCGTATATTCTAAGCATTCAAATGTGAATAGACTAATCAGAATAATCTGTGAAATTTCTTTTTGTTGGGAACATAATTCCTGGAAAAAAAAAAAATTGTACTTAAGTAGTTGCCTGCTATAAGTATAGTCACAAAAATAAAATGCATACTGAAGGACAACTACAACATTACCCTAGGCAGAATCACCTTGCCTATTCATCTCTCAATCTCATGCTTACTGTTTTCCTCAAGCAAAAGCATAATTTACAGGCAGTTTGGTTCAAGGATTTCAGAACTAGCTTAGAGCCAAATGCAAAGCAACGTGTATAATGTACCATCAAGAACATAGCAGTCCACACTTTCTGATTCTGACACTTCCGGAAAATATAGAATTCACCAATTGCCGTTAAAATATTTGTCACATTCTTCAGAATCGTCACCATAGCAATATTTATGTATTTCAAACTGAAAAGATTAACCAAACAATATTAAGTGCACATAAATATATGACTGAACATATTGATCAATAAATTCACACATTTTTTTCCTTTAAACAGATCTACATGCTGTTCTCTTTTCACGAATCCCTTGTGGTCAGAAGCACATCATTCCAATCTAGATCAACATTCAGTTGAATTCACCGAAAATTCTTAAGTGCACAAGGATATATAACTGGATAAACAGAAGACTGGAAACATTTTGTAGAAAGAACCATATATTGCAGTTCCCTTTCTTTTCACCATTGTGCTCTCGATGGTTTGAGTTCATGTGTATCAAGATCAGTTGGTGAATATAGGAAGAGTACCCAAATGTATAATGTGGTTCATGGCTTACCTATACATTCCCGAAACTAGCATGCCAATGAATATTACATTTACAGGGATCCAGACCTTGATTAGATTCCAATTCAATTTCTCCAGTGACACTGCTCCACAGAAACCCAGAACCAGCACTATAACAGTACTAATTAAATTCTGCAAGAAGTAAGGTAATGAATATGATTGACAATATTAAATTACAATAGTGAAGAAAAAAAAGATCATCCAATATGTGAGAAACAGGGTCAATATCAGCAAAAAAAAAGTTTAAAAGGTTTAACATAAAGGGCACAGTGCTTACCAATTAAAGATCAGCTATGAAAAAATAGAATTGACATACAATTTAAATTTACTACTAGGATTGTAAAAAGCAATTCATACCTAAATTTTTTTTAACCCAACTAGAAAGGAGATTTTGTCGTGAATAAGTTGACGTACCTGATAAAACATTAATGAGATTCCTGCATCGAAAGCATAACTTGATAAAACAATTTTGTTCAGCAATATCATGCTGCAAGAAGAAAAGCAGTAAGCTGTTCCAGACAATAGAGGTCCAGATTTTTTTCCTGACCCGTGTTCTCGCTTTTCCTCTATATCAATCAAGAGATTGACACTATCACCAATAGCAGCTTTAGTTCCCCGAGAAAGTCTGCTTTAAGGATTTAAATATCAGTAAAATATCAAGGATCACATTAAGCCTTCCAAATGTCCAATCAATTGATTCATAACAAGTCATTGAATAAAATGTCAAATAGATATACAACTGCTAATTGGAATACTGTGTAACTGGAAAAACATTATTAGATCAAAATCCAAAGAAGTCAATTCAAAGAAAAAATAACTAGAGCTGAATTGTCCACGGTGCATATTAAATGACATATCATTTCTTGATCTTAAATTGTGAGACCTCAAATAGGCAACACCTCCGCTACCCAAAAAATAAATAGTTGTAGAATGTTAGATTTTTGTATTGAGCTTCAAGCGATGGAGTCACCCAAGCTCATGAAGATGATCATGGTGGAAAAGAAAATTGCAAATCATACATATGAAAACAGTTACACTATAACAGAGTAATAACATACTGATATAATAACTGTCACAGATGAGAAGTTGAAAGTACTACCTGTCAGATGCTACCTTGTATTCTTCATCTGTTGAAATATTACTTATTGTCCTATTTCCATGCCTACGAAAACCATTAAAAAGCTTGTGTACCACATTAGCCCTTTCACCAGTTGTCACCTTCCCATTTGAAGAGCTGAAATCTGGTGCCATGGAATCTGGGCAAACAACTGCATCTATCTTGTAATCGGATGACATGGCACTGACCTAGCACTAATAGAGAAGCCGTACAACCCAATTTAGACTTGGAAATTAAATGTAAATTGCGTGATTGGGCATCAAGACTTGTTAGATGTTCACTTGAATGCCAGAGCAACAATTCTTGCAATCCTTAACCTCTATTTAACTTCCATTAATCAGATGCCAAAAAAATCATAATTTGGAAACTAATTACAACAAACTTTGTCAAAGTATAGCAGCTGTAAAATCCCAAGTTTTTTTTTTTATGAAATCACACCTATGTGCTCACATACATAGGCACCCAAAAAATCTCATATCGAAAAAGTGAAAAGAAGCAGACTAGCTTGAAGTGTGGCAGGCAACAAGAATGTTAATTAAGCAGACAACTAGAGCTCTCTCTTAACGATAGAACACCAAGAGCATTTCAAACGATCAAAAGGTAGACGGAGCCACAGATTTTTGGCAAACTATCTGTGTCCCTAGTCAATACATGTTTACATCTTCAAACATTACCTATAATTGTGTCCGAAGAACATAAAAATATGAAACATGAACTAAACTGAATTTATTGAAACGGATGCACAAAGACGAAATTCAAAAAACAGTAAATTTGTTATTTATAATACATACCGATCCATTAACTCTTCTAAAGCAAATCAAGAAAACTATATTCGTTGAACAAATCCAGTATTCTAAAAAAAAAATAAAAAAATACCAACCTAGAGCTTGCAAAAAGCGATTTTTATGATTAACTAAGAACAAGTAAATAACAATTTGGAGTGTAAATCAATTCAATTCAAATACTAACTAAGGGGCGGAGTACTTACCAATTAAAATTATGAAGATAAGCAAATTTGGAAGGTATCTTCAAAGGGCCCTGGTTCCGAGCAACTATTGTAAAGCTATAATTACCTATATATAACCAATTATACCAAAACTGAATATGAACACACGCGTAGCTAATTAAAGTAATCTAAATTCCTCGGTAATAATGAAAGGTTTACATATACCGATTGAAATGTGGATTCCGAATGATTCAACGAACACGATCGCAGCTGAAAAAATGGCGAGTCTAGAAGAGGAAGAAGAAGAAGAAGAAGATGAGAGAAAAAGGTCATGAGAAAGACGTGATTGTCAATCTTTTAGCAACGCACGCAAAGGCAAAGGGCGTGGATCCATCTGAAAACAAGCCAATAATGTATTACAAAATGACAGAGAGAGAAAAATAAGTGGGAGGTTTGATGATTGGGAAAGCTGAGCTCTGAAACCAATATATGTATATGGGTTGCGGAGAGGGAGAGGGAGAGAGAGAGGAATGAGAAGGCGGGTTCGAGGAATGTGAGAAGCGCCTAACAAGTTGAATAATAATGGAAGTGGAACTGTTTCCGAGGCTCCATTAGTCAAAAGCTCTGAGCGATCCATTCTCTCACCCGCCACTCTGTCTCCCACGCTCCCTCCCTCCCTCCACTTCAAAAGGATGAAAGAGACCTGAGAGAAACGCAGCAATATAAATATGGTATTTTTTTGAGTTCAGAAATTGTTTGACACCCAATTTTTAACTTTTTTTTAATCATAATAATAATTTTAAATAAAATTATTAAAAAAAGACATTATTAATTTTGAGATATCAGGTCTTTTAATTAAGAAAAATGCTTGGGAGCACTAATAGTGCTCCCACTAATTAGGTGGTAGTGGGTCCCGCCATTAATGATGTGATGTTTTGGTTTTGGAGTTGTATTTTTTTTCTTTTTTTTTACTTTTTTAATGCATTAGTGCTATTAGTTATGATACTTTTAGTGGGATGAATCATTGTTGTTTAATTAAATCTACACACTTATTATATTATAAATTAGGATTTATAAAAACACCCATCTTCATCATCACTCATCACTCATCCATCTTCCCTAAATCCCGCTTTCAAAACCTACTCACTCTCAACATCTTGAAAATTCTTTGACGGCAATATTCCAGTAGTAATAGTGGCAACTATTTTACTACTCTTCTTCGCCAATGGCAATATTTCAATGGTAACAGTGGCAACCCTTTGGCGGAATACAGGTCCGAACATTACTTATTTGCTCGAGAATGCAGGTCCGAACATGAAAAATTCTTAACATATTGAATGGTTAAATTGTTAACGCTTGCAGAAATTTTTATTTTTTCAAATTCAAGAATACATTCCCGAACAAATAAGTAATGTTCGCAAATGCAGGTCCGATTATGGAAATTTCTTAACATATTAAACGGTCAAAATTGTTAACGATTGCAGAAGTTTTCATTTTTTCAAGTTCAGGAATACAGACCCGAACATTACTTATTTGTTCGGGAAGGGATTCCCGAACAAATAAATAAAGTTCGAGAATGCAGGTCCGAATATGAAAATTTCTTGACACATTAAATGGTCAAAATTTTTAATACTAGTAGAAGTTATCGGAAGTAGCTCAAATCCATTATTAGGTTCAAAAGTTATTCCTTTATCGCGTAACTTTAATAGTATTGTTGCGTACACAATTTTATAATATCTACCAACAAAACTAACCAAACCAATTATTATAAATTTTTTTCCTGCAAGAGAAGAAATTATTACGATAAAACTAAGAAATTATATGTGTGTGTATATATATATAGCATACCAACTGTGACAATGATGAATGAGGAAGCAAAGACAGTAATTACATTGGCTCTTCTCCTTCTTGGTTGGTTTTGTAAAGGTTTTTTGTTAGAGGTTTTTTTTTTTTTTTTTTTAGGGTGTGGAAGGTTTGCATTCAATGGGTGAAATGCTTTCATGAGAATAATTTTATTATTAGTTGGGAGGGAAAAAAGAAATTTTGAGGGTTTCAAAATTTACAAGTGGAGGTCCAAAAAAATAGAGGGTCCAAAATAATTTATGAGATGCTAATAGCATCACTCATTTTTTTCCTAAAAGGGCAAACTTCTCTCAGTCCGATTAGAGTGTACTGTTAGGTTTGTGGGATTCATTACGGCTCTTATTTCGATACTTGTTTGAGTGTTTTATTTTTGTAAAAAATCACATTGATCATATATGAATAATTATTTGATCGGATTAGATTTCTATTAACGGTAAATAAATTGTTACAAAAATTTGATCCGATCAAGTAGTTATCGATATCCGATTAATGTGATTTTTTATAGGAATAAAGTACTTGATGAATTCTACATATTCAATAATTTAAATTATCGAAACAAAACCTGTGTTCAACCTCACAAGCCCAACAACATTGTCCAGTATGGACTGGAGACAAGTTTAGTCCTTTCTAAAACAATAACCCACGTAATTTCTTTCTCCTACAATTTATTATAGAAGAAAGTCATATAATTTTATATTTTTTAAAGTTATAATTAAAAAAATAAAGAATAAAATTATATGTATTAATTGATTTATTAATTAATATATTAACAAATAATATGACATAATTTTAAAAATTTTGAATCTTTATAATTTATATAATAGGTGGGTCTATAGTTTTAGGTCCCGTTTGTTTTGAGAGATAAAGATGTGAATTGTATTGAGATGGAGGTGGGACTCATTATGGTCATGTTTGATTGGGGGTTTGGGAGGATGGATTGGATTACCAATTCGTGGGACCCACCAAACCCTTGTTTGGATGTAACAAAATGTTATAAGATTAGTAGTGTAGAGGGTTTAGTAATCCCCTCTGTAGGAGGATTAACTTGGGTAAATTTTAGGTGGAATTAGGAAAATAGTGAGGGGATTGAGTTTATTTTATATTAAAAAAAATAATTAAACTTTTTTTTTACCAAGTGCACCTATTTGTTTTAATATAGAAATAATTTATTTATTTATTTTATATAAAAATAATTTAACAATCTCATCACTAATCATCTCCCACACTATCATTAAAATAAACACATTTTTACTTTAATCCCCTCACTAACAATCCACACATTAACAATGTCTTCACTAATAATCCTCTCACTAATAATCTCATCCAACTTAATCCGCCAAACAAGTGTGTCCTATATGTTGGGTTTGTTGGAGAGGGGATTCATAATTCCCTAGATTAAGATGGGTTTGGTGTTAGGATTGAAATGGACGAGGTGGATGTGGTATTAGGAAATTAGTCCTCTAGCTTAGGTTATTTTTTATTTTTTATTTACATGTTGGGCATTTTTTTTAACATTAGTGTTTAATATTTTTGTATTTTTTGTTAAGCAGAAATTGTAATTTTATTTGTTTTAATGTTTTATATTTATTTTATAGGGTAATAATTTAACAATTTTCACACTAATAACTATCATTAAAATAAATATAATTTTATTTAATTCCCTCACTATCAATCCCTTCATTAACAATCCCCTCATTATTAATCCATTTATTATCAATCTCCTCTATTTTACCTATAAAAACAAACGTGATCTTAAAATAATAATATCCAACCATACCACCCCACTAAAAAAAATTTATAATTAAATATCTTAAAATAATATCATAATTAAGGAAAAAAAAACATAACTAAAGTTACGGAAAATTCTCCAAATATATAATTGTAATTTCTCAAAAAATTGGGTGTGTGAATTGAATTGGCAACGTGGAAATATTTTGAAACTGATGTTTTGAAAGTGGGGTGTGGGCCCATTCAGTAGGCTTTACTAACACCAATGTCCATAGATCACGTGTCTGACTGAAGTAGGTCTTCTACTTAATGGATTGGGTTCAGATCCACTAACCCTAACTAGTGTATTCGGCCCAAGTACATAGCGGTGGACCAAGAAACAATGAAATTCATATCCTTTTTTTATTTTTATTTTTACAGAAAAATCCTCTCACTTTTTCACATGTTCAAGACAGCGTCTCTCATAGAGATTATCAAGATATCCTGTTATCCATTATGAGCAAGATATTATAATCTGAAAACTTATTTTAACCTCTCAAGATAAGTTCTATTTAAGTTAGGACTCGCGCAACGATGAAAGTATCGAACTCACACAAAGTATTGTGGTAACAACAACTTGAGACTTAACTTCCTAACTAACTGTGTTACGCCCAAGATATTGACCCAAAGAGTTTCGAATTTGAGACCTGGGGTTTTAACTCCCAAACCTTTACCAAGTGCGCTACTACCTTGGTTACATATCTCATTTATTAAAACAAAAAAGAAAAATAAATTCTTTAAAAATCACGACTCATCTAGAAGTGGACAAACATCGGGTTGGGTTGGAATCGGACTAGACCGGCACTATAATAAGAGTATAAGTGTCATTTTAAATTCGGCTTAGACTGACATCAGGCCTAACCTAATCATTCCAAACCTGGTCTTAAAAGAATTTTCAAATTCCAAACCTGTCCACTTAATCTAGTAGATATGAACTCTTAGTAATATTTTTATTATCTTGAAGTGCTATTAAATTATTTAAACATTTTTAATAATATTTAAATTTAAAATATTAATTTAATTTAATTATAAAATAAGTATATATATGTATTTTTTATATTTTATTTTATTTTAAATTCATTACTTAACTTAATAATATTAAAATTAAAAATTTTAAAATGGGCGAGTCAGGACGGATTGGGCTAAAACTCTTTATCCTAAGCTTAGCCCAAAATTAAATGGATTAAAAAATTGTGTCCAGTGTGGCCCTATTGGCTAAATATTTTTCCACAACTCTAAAATTATCGGACTAGGATGCACAGGTTGGGCGGGCTATTGGGCCGATAGCCACCCCTACACTCATC